AATTTTGGATCGCACGCCATATGCTCGCCGGGTGGCTGTTCCTATGCGCATACTCCACAATAATGTGCTACTGAATGTAATTCCCAAATTTACTGTTCAACGTATTCAATAGGTGTATTGCTTATTAATAAATTCTGTAGAGTTGAAGTAACAACGGGTCTTTTGCCGATGCCAATGCTCTTCACATTCGGACAGGACACTGGGTAAATCGTTTACATAGATTGCGAACAACAGAGGGCCTAGTAAGGATCCTTGTGGAGCTCCTCTTTACACATGCTTAAAATTGGAAATATTATTTCCCGCGGATTCGGCTTCAAGTCTGTTGGACAAATAAGAACTACTCAAACTGACTGAAGTGCTTGAAAAATTTAAAAGATTTCTTAGATTAGTACTAAGAATGTTGTGGTTCACAGAATCGAAGGCCTTGCTATGATCAAGAAGAGTCAGGAGAGTGACGTAATTTTGATCGATTTGCTGGCGAATATCATCTACAATGTGAGTTATGGCCGTGATACACCTTCTTCTTTTACGAAACTCTGACTGTTTATTTGTGCTGTAAATATTGCATTCTAGGAAACATTGAATCTGTACAGAATAAGGTTTTCAACAACATTGGAAAGAAAAGGTAGGACTGAAATTGGTCTATAGTCATTGTTGGCCTTTGGTATCGGATTTATTTGTGCTCTTTTCCAAACCGTCAGAAAAGAAGAAGTAGTTAAAGAAGTATTAAAGATGAAGGTTATATATTGCAAAATAAACGGTAGTAATATTTTTAAAAACTTTGGGCTAAGATTGTCTAGACTTTCAGCGCTGGACTTTACTTTAGGAATACAAGCAAGGACATCATATAGACTTACTCACATGAACCACATGAAACTATTATCACAGTGTGTTCTGGAATTCATGTTACAAGAAGCCTCAGGTACATTGATGAATAAAGACTTTTGGTTAAGTTTTTCAACATTGACGGTTTGGTCAGGTTTTTTCTAAGCTATTCAATTCTTTCCACTTATATTTCAGACAGTTGTTAAATTTGTAATACACTTGCAGAGGGTATTATAATTTCAGTCAGAAGTTTGCAACGAGGTGAAGGAGACGTTTCCGACCCTATAAAATATATATATACTTGATCAGCATCACTAGGAGAGTCGATGTAGCCATGTCCGTCTGTCCGTCCGTCTGTCCGTCCGTCTGTCCGTCCGTTTTTACGCAAACTAGTCTCTTAGTTTAAAAGATATCTGCATGAAACTAATCCAAAAGTTTTCTTCCTATTGCAGGTAGTATATAAGTCGGAATGAGCCGAATCGGAGAAATAATTTTAAAAAAATTATAACTTTGCTGTTTTTCATTTTTTTAGTACTTAGACATATAGTAATGGTTAAATATTTCAAAATAACGGTTTAAATTTCATCAAAATAGGACGACTATATCATATAGCTCCTATAGAAATAATAAAAATATATAAAATAACTATCCAATAATTGAGCTGCAAATCATCATAGCCTTAATTTTTTTTAACCTATACGCAAGTAAATCAGAATTTGAATGTTTTAAAAAATATTTAATTCTTGCAATAGCTGCAAGGGTATATGAACTTCGGCTTGCCGAAGATTTCTTTCTTCCTTTTTTTTTATAATGATCCCTTTAAGCGGAGCGTATCTTCTTGGTTACCATTTCTCTAGCCATCTTAAATTATTTATGAAAGTCGTCAGTACGGTGTTGCTTTCACTTAATATATATATATATATAAATAATAAATCGATCCTATCTGTAACAAAATATAGACCCATAGACATATTTTTCAGAAGCACAATCTTTAGTTCAGCAGAAGACATAGAAAAAATACAAGAAAGAAAGCCAACTTCGGCAAGCCGAAGTTCATATACCCTTGCAGCTATTGCAAGAATTAAACATTTTTGAAAACATTAAAATTATGATTTACTTTCGTATATGTTTAAAAACATTGAAGCTATGATGATTTGCAGCTCAATTATTTGATAGTTATTTTATATATTTTTATTATTTCTAAGGGAGCTATATGACATAGACGTCCGATTTTGATAAAATTTAAACCATAATTCTGAAATATTTAACCATTGCTATATGTCGAAGAACTAAACAAAAAATTAAAAAACAGAAAAGTTATAATTTTTTTTCATTTATTTTTCCGATTGTTCCTATGGGAGCTATATGATATAGTCGTCCGACTTTGATGAAATTTAAACCGTAAGTCGGAAATATGTAACCATTACTAAATCTCGAAGAACTAAACAAAAAATTAAAAAACAGCAAAGTTATAATTTTTTTCATTTATTTTTCCGATTGTTCCTATGGGAGCTATATGCTATAGTCGTCCGATTTTGATGAAATTTAAACCATAATTCTGAATTATTTAACCATTGCTATATGTCGAAGAACTAAACAAAAAATTGAAAAACAGCAAAGTTATAATTTTTTTCATTTATTTTTCCGATTGTTCCTATGGGAGCTATATGCTATAGTCGTCCGATCCGGCTCGTTCCGACTTATATACTACCTGCAATAGAAAGACAACTTTTGGGAAAGTTTCATGCAGATAGCTTTAAAACTGAGAGACTAGTTTGCATATAACCGGACGGACAGACGGACAGACGGACATGGCTAGATCGACTCGCCTAGTGATGCTGATCAAGAATATATATACTTTATAGGGTCGGAGATGTCTCCTTCACTGCGTTGCAAACTTCTGACTGAAATTATAATACCCTCTGCAAGGGTATAACGAGAAGAAATAAAACAGAAAATTGAAAATAAACAAAATAATCAAGGAAAAATCCTACTAAAACCTTTTAAACCAGGCGCAACTGTCCCCGTTAAAATAGATAAAAGGTTACGAACCAATCTTACACCTAGATACAAAGGCGAGAAGGTAGCGAAAAATAAAACGACCACCGCTAAAATACAAACCGGAAAAATAATTCATAAAAATAATATAAGGACATAATTTCGACTATCCAATTCACAAATCATCTCACTCGAAACCGGATTAGCGGCTAAGCAAGACGGAACATTTAAAATCATCCACGTCTTTAACATACAAAGCTATGAAGAAACTCTGGCAAAGTTAGAAGAATTATTTCATTCACTCATCTCATCTCATCTCATCTCATCATCTCATCTCATCTCATCTCATCTCATCTCATCTCATCTCATCTCATCTCATCTCATCTCATCTCATCTCATCTCATCTCATCCATTACACCCATATCTTTCCTATGAACTAAAACAGATCCAAACTGATTTACGCATACTCCAAACTCAAAAAAGACCAAAAAGGGCAATAAAAGCAAATCACCACGACTGTCAGATCTTAGAAGATAAGATAAATGAGCAGCTAGAAAACAACAATAGACAAGTAGTGGTTAACAGATTTATTTATAAAAAAAAAACCAACTTACTAATGCTACTAATGCAATATTGAAAGTTACCCACAGCTATGACAAAATCGTAAATCAGAAAGCAAATATTTTAAAGTATAAAAGTTAATTAATAAAAGATGAAATAACCAACATAATATACGCAATTATGTTACATGAGCCCAATCTAACACAATAAATTCGCTTGTATTTACGAACACAGAAACCAAAAAAGTGGAGAAAATTATTAAAAAAGAAAACAACTTATTTTTTAACATAGAAGAATTATTGGAATTTGCTCGAATCAAGTTAGCCAAAAATGGCAAAGACCTTATCTACATTATTAGCCTCCCAACCATTAATTTAAAGCAATAAAAAAGCACAAATAATCAATGATATAAAATATGTCAATTTTTTAGAACATAAGAGACAATTATTTGCAATAATTAAACCTTGTGAATCCTATAATGATAAGACAATTTGTAATTCAGAAAATTTTTTAGATTTAAGCATTGATACTTGCGTAAACGCTCTCTTAAACCTTCGAGAACCAGAATGTAAGATGATCAACAATCAACATATACAACATGAACAACTTCAATAGATCAGTCTCACTAGATAAAAAAATTCTACAACTGCAAGGCTCTTTCATAAAACAATACCGTAATTCGACGGTAACAATTGGCGAAACCATCTTCAAGTCAAGGGAAATCAACGTAGTCGAACCCGAACCTCCGTTATTTCAACTATTGGGAGAAAAGACTAAGTTAGAGGAAGTTCTCTCACTACAAATAGTCAAGGAACTTAATATTAACAACACAAAAGCGCTGAAAAGATTAGGAAGCAAGGCAACCATAGAATTTCCGTTAGCTACGGATCGATCACGGAACTCCTACGAAGGTGTAGGTCAACGGAAAGTACACCAGCTTCCGTGCCAGAAACGCAAGAAAAGCCCACGCATTCCGGACCTGTACTCTTACTACGTTGCGACCAAGCACAGTCGCGTTTAAGGAGGGAAGGGTTTACACCCAAAATAATACAATTTTTCAGACAGAAGAAAAGAGTAAGCATCGATTGCACAACAAACAGCAAATATAATAATAATACAATTTCAAACGAACTTAGCCACGTGCGCTGAGCTTGCACCTTTCCAAAGTTGATCGAACTTAACTAAGTGCATACAATAAATACAATAATTAAAATGGACCGGCCAATTACAATTAAGTTTGGCCAACGGAGACGGCGACCAAGAGCAGCAACCAATAATATGAAAGAACGTCATCAGAAACAGCAACAGCGGCAGTGTCGGCGGCAGCAATAGAGCGACGCGTAGCTATAAAAAACAATTGTTTAACTTAAGTAAATAAGTTCTTAATCCAACTCAATAAAGATAAGTTTGATTTATTTTTTATATATCAAAATCATAATCAATCTTTTAACTTTATAATAACAATAGTCTTCTAAGCACACGCTCTTTGTGCGCATCTTCAGTACATGTGTTGAGTTATGTCACATAACGTTAGGGCTTAGGTCAACTAATGTTTTTACTTCAATTAATGCTATTATTAATAGAATTTGCTTACAAAAATAAAATGTATAATTTTACGAACATGATTTTCAAAATTAAACAGCTGCCTCTTTAAGTTCTCGTTTTTTGAAATGGTATAGGGGGAAAGCAGTATAGGGAAGATATTATTTGTTTTAAGCTCAGGTAGTCGATCGTGCGCTCCAAATGGGATCATTCCAAAAAGATAGTTTCTGTTGGTGAAAAAAATTGTATGACTCCACGAAATTAAGAACAACTTAGTTTGTATCGTATTTATTTTTATTCTTACCTTTGTTGTTGGCGTTTCATTTTTCAGAGGCTCATAAATAGATCATATTGACGGTCCGCTGACCAAATTGCAGGTTTCATCAGTGTCACTATCCACATGAATCGGCATGTTTTTACAAAGCTTATTAAAGCATGCATTACGTCTATTACAAAGTTTGAACGATGAGTGATCATATAAAGTATCCGATGAAATGGCTGTACTGGAGGTTATAATAGCCAAATTTCCTGCTCCGAAACTGACATTCAGCTCTTTAGACGAGTTTAATGAACTGTTTAATAATTGACTCGATGAGTTCATCCAGTTCTCTTTGTTGCAGAAACTTTTATACAAATTACCGCTTTCAAGAGCTGACCCGAAGCTATTGAGCAATGATGAGTCAATAAAATAATTGGCCAGCGGTGGAATGATGTAATTATCCGTCGCAAAGAGATCGTCATAAGATTAAAAGTTATTAAACTTAAAATTGCACGCATTGACAACGGTCTTCGCATAATGGTTGGCTATTGATAGGCTACTTTGTGGGGACTGAGTAGGTAGGAGGTTGATATGCTCGTCTATGGGAGTACGGAATCTGCTTTGTGCCATGTGCTTTACATTTAACATCTTTGCGAGGCCACCCAAGTGTTGATTTATTAATGAAATCTGACGCACTTTCGAAGAGACAAAATCAAAATTAAGATTATTTAAATCAACTAGGGTATTTGGTGATACCCACACTCGCAGTTAGGATTCATAGAAACATAGCATCGTTCCTGGGTTCGTCCACTGTTTACCGAATAGAGATTTGGGAATCCAAACTCAAAAATAGAAGCGAAGTCACTGTCCAAAGCGTTTTTGATGTCGCATAGATACATGCTTGGCCACTGTTCTAGCATAGACAATGGCAATAAACAGCTTCATGAATCCGGTTAGGCGAACATACTGTACGCCGGCGCTATTATAAATCTATTTAAAAATAATTCATTGGGTTTAAGGCCGATATAAATATAAATAAGCTAACCTCAATTGCATGTCGCATGGCTAAAAGTGCCTGCTCCGTGATCGCTTATAAATTGAGTCTTCTGAGAAGCTCCTGGTAATAATGAAGATTGAGCTCCTAAATTGGCATAATTTGTTGCTGGTGACAGAACCGATGCCGAAAGGTGCTTACATGCTCTATAGCAAAGAAGGCAAAACTCTACGTCGTTATTGTGACAGATAAGCCAAATTGTCTGGTCTTTATGCTTTAACTCAACGTAGGGCAACAGCTTAGCTGCCGTAGCCATATCCGAGATTCTCAGAGTCTTAGGTTGAATCTGGTAGCCATATTTCTTTTTGTGTAGCTTTAACACCTGATCTAGCTTCGTACAGAGTGTTGCATTGCCAGTAACGCTACGTATAAGATCCTCACATTGCTCACCAAACACACGTCTAGCCACTTTTGGTGAGAGTATTATTTTCCATCTCGACTAAGACGTGAATAGCATCCATAAGGTCTGCCATCTTATGGAAGCCGTAGTCACTGAGACGAAATTGGTAGGCGAAGTGATAATGGTAGGATCTTACAAACTTTTGAAACTGAACAGAGTACTGAAGGGAATTCTTTAAGAGCTCCACCGGCAAACACACTTGTTTTCTCCAATTCACTGCTAGTCATTTTGCGTTTTGGCATTGATTTAGGAATATCTTTTCCGTGCTGTACATTGCTTAGAACAAAGATGTTCAAGCTCACCAGGCCATCTAGGATGTCTGCCATGTCACACTCCCTAATCCGCGATAAGTCAGCGTGATCTGTCGATTTTCGTCGTCTCCCATGATGTACACCACAGAAGACAATGCTTTGTATATCCGTAGTCTGAAACTCTACATTGTTTTACAAAGTGATTGTGATAGGCCGGAATAAAGCGATTAAACTTCATAGTTGATTTTGGCGACATCTTAACTAACTCGATTACCTCGCGGGAGATTTGAAAGAGCGGATCGGCAACAGAATTTTTGAAGTAGCTCCCTTCCGAACAATTAGCACGGTCACTGACGTTCAGGCTATTTGCATTTGAGCTGCCAGTAGCTTGCAAGGGCATATCCTTGCTTAGCTCCAACCAGCCTAGAATTTTAATACCAAAGTTATTCATCTGGATCTGAATTCCTTGGACACAGAAAACCAAATGCTCCAAGTTGACACCGCTTTCATTCGGCATTATTGAAGCTTTAAGTTGCCCTTTAATGCAGTGAAGTAGGGTAGTCACTGGAATGTCTCCCGGATGCACCCTCAGCAGCGGGTAGATCAGTTTCTGAATCTCCGAAATGGTCATGTGGACATTTGGCAACGGTTCGATTTCCTGCTCAGCCCATCCCTTGTGTTGCTCTCTCTTAAGATGAATACTACAGTAGGGAACGCTGTGTTGAAGACCTTCCATTAAAGGTGAGCTCTCGAGGGTGTTCACTATGTCTGAATTAATTGATGTCTGAATTATATTTTATACAAGTCCAGAACACTGATTAAGGTTTTAAAGCGGGACTGAAAGAACTCTCTGAACTTATACATGGGGAGTGCATAGTAGGGGACATTATAAAAAGTAAACTTCATAAGAAAGTAAGTTGGGAAAACGAAATCATGTTTACCTTTAGGAGCCCCGCGACCTGGCAACGAAGCAACTTGAAGCTTAGTGTTTTGCACCGTCACGTAAACTAATATAGTGGACAGAGAGGGTCTAGAGAACTATTGCTTCACCAGACAAAGCCCAAAAAAAGTATTATTTAAAATAAGTGGTGAAAATTATATGTTGTTTAATTCCACACCTTTTATAACCTGCTTGATGGCCCTATACCCTAGCTTAAATACTCTTTCGTTTCTATGGCAACTACATAAAATCATTTTCCGATTTTTATAAAATTAAAAGCGTTATTCTGAAAAGAGTTTTAAAAAAAATGTAATATAGAGAAGTTAATTTGTATTTTTCAGTATGGGCCACCACACCTAAAAAAATCCGTTCGGCTTTCTGTAGCGATAGCCGCACAAAGCAAAGATTCGTTACAAATTATATAAACACAAAAAAATTTTATATGTAAAAACCAACTTTGTAAAACTGTTACTTTTATATTATATTTTTTTATATATTTTGTTGTTGGCTTTCAGTCCAATAATCCTTATGTATTTGGTTATTGTTTCTCCAAACTTTAATAAAACTAATATTGAAATTATTAACAAATAATTTAATTTTCTTCTTTAGTTTGTTGTTGCAATACCTACGATTTTTATTTGTTTTTATATCCAAGTTAATAGAAACATGAAAACATAAATATAAATAATAACCTTTAAATTTTTGTCTTATATATTGTTTCTCCAATAGCTAGTTTTGTTGACTTCATCGGCTGTCAATTTTAATGAGTTGTTAATTTAACAACTTGCAAGTGACTACGCTTTGCTTAAAATGACTGGTCATGAAAAAGTCTTTAAATTAGACATGACTTACATAATTGCCAGCATAGCGTAGTGTTACGCTGCTCAACTCTCAACCCCGGCCACAATAAAAATGTAAGTATTTTTTCAGATTGAAGTTTACAGAATTTACTAATTATCAGCAAATTTACTTAGTTTTAATTATAAAATTATAAATCTCCGTCTCTACCCTCTCAGAGACACCTCCATTTCAAGAACGTAATTAAATATAAGGCGGGAACAGTGGTCGACTCGCAAACTATTGAACTGCTCTGTCGCTGCTACTCTGTGTACAATTTTTATGGTTATGCAATCATTTTAGAGTCAGTGGCGGTCCCACTATTTTATAGTAATGTAACAACTTTTCATGGGAAATTAACAATTTTGCATAGGTTGGGACAGTTTTAGAAATTAAATCGTTGGTTATACATATTTTTTTGTGTTTAAATGTAAATGTCTCATTTACTGCGTTGCAAACTTCTGACTGAAATTATAATACCCTCAGCAAGGGTTTTATAAATCTTACAAACGAAAAGACGCTTTAGGCAATGCCAAATGGCAGGGGCACTATTGTCCTGAAAATCTAAAACCCGGAAATAACTAATACAATAATATTTGACCTAATGCCGGCAATGAAACCAATAGAAAGTGCACTCGGTAAACCTATGATTAAAAGTCGGTAAAAGCAGTAACAGAAACAGGACGAGTGCCAACTCTCCGTGGCTCAAAATAATGCTTATTTATCGTTGAAATCACCGGAAACAAAATGCAACGCAATGTCGCGGACCGCTCCGATCTTTGTCGTCCCGACTTCTATACCCAAGAAGCGCCGCCGCTGCTCAGTCACCTCCCCTCCCACGAATCCATGCTCTCACTACGTCAGCATGGGCAACTATTACTCAGTAACTGCCGTTGCACCAATTGCAAAAACAGGTACATCAACGTCGTCGTCGACTCTCCAGCCAACTCCGTCATCGCAAGCTAATATTGGCTCTGCTGCACCTCTCCCAAAAACTGCACTCGTACAGACCAGAATCGATCGGTATGTAAGCTAAACCCAGAATGCTTATATCCAAGTATTATTTGGAGTATAGCCACACGCAAAATTGAATATCAGTTAGCAGAATATCAGTTAACGCATAATTTTGTGCTGATTTGCTGCTCCTGAAATCTGAAATCACGACATTCGTTCTCAACAGGAAATTTTTTTTTAATTTCGAAAATTCGTTGTGGAGCCCGTAGTCGCACTCTATATTATTATTATTATTATTAATATCGGGGTGTCCAGTGTACCGCGACCTATAAGATCTATTGTACCCCCATTCAGAGCCTACAGCTCAGATATCAACTCACTTCCTCGAATAAAGTCGAGGAGTTTTAGTGGGTTGATTCTTACTAGGAGCTCAGGTGTAAGAGTTCTGGTTCCTAAGATTTTACATCTTATGCTTGCTAACGCCGGACAGTCTGCAATGATGTGTCTAGAGGTTTCGTCCTCTATGTCGCAGAATCTGCAAGTTCCACTGCTGGTTATTCCCATCTTACCTAGGTGACTTTTCAGTCTACAGTGCCCGGTTAGTAATCCGGTAACGATCCTAAGTGAGTTTTTCCCCAGTTGAATAAGTTCCTTGAACCTCTTCTTGTTATAGTTATTTATTTGAGTTTTGGCTTGCCTTAGACCTGGGGTATTTCTCCAGTGTTCTTGTCTCATGGCGCCTTCCGCTTTCCTAAGGTATTCTTTTATAGTGTGCCTCCCTATGCCACAGTAGGGCTCTGGGCCTACCAGGGGCTGTTCGGCTCCTAGTTTTGCCATTTTATCGGCAAGTTCATTTCCGGATATATCCTTATGTCCCGGAATCCATCTGAGGGCCAGCCTGTTTCGGCTGCCCAGTATATTTAGCTTACTCTTCACCTCTAGGACTAGCTTCGAGGTGATTTTGTTGCTATGTAAAGCAGTAATTGCTGCTCGGCTGTCCGAGAGGATCGATATGTCCTTTTCCTTGTATCCACGCTGTATGTTGAGCTCTGCACAACGTCCAATAGCACATACCTCAGCCTGGAATATGCTGGTGTATTGGCCAAGGGATTCGTGGTATTTTATGCGAGGCCCTACCACTCCAAGGCCCGTGCCTTGTTGTGTCAGGGATCCATCTGTGTACCATGCAATGGTGTGTTTAGCCATCGGATGCACTTCAGACAGTGTGGTCCAATCTTTCTTATTGCCTAGGTGTGCTGTGAAGTTCTGCTCGAAGATTAGTTCGGCTGTCATTTCATCCCTAGGGTGGAGTATTAGGGGCACCTCACCTAACAAATTAGTCGCATCCCTGTTATTTAGAATGCAACCACTACCTGTGCCCTCAGTGCTTATTCTCAGGAGTGTAGCTTTGCGTTGGATATCAATCACATAGTGGAGTGGTGTTAGCTCCATCAGAACTTCTAAGGCAGCTGTAGGACAGGTTCTCATTGCCCCTGTCATGCATACGCAGGCAAGTCTTTGTAGTTTTCCTAGCTGGTTTTGCATGATGATGAGCTTAGCTCGTTTGCCCCATGCAAGTGCTCCGTAAGTGAGGATTGGTCTCACGATCATTAAGTGTAGCCATCGTATTATCTGAGGCCTGGTTCCCCAGGATTTCCCAGCAATTTTCCGACAGGTATAGAGTGCTCTGTAACACTTTTCCAATGTCTTTTGGACATAGGAAGCGAAAGTCAGTTTGCTATCTAACGTGATTCCTAGATATTTAACCTCTCGGCTAGTTTCTATAGGAGTTCCTAGCAGTGAGATTTGTCTCATTCTCTGTAGTTTGTACTTCTTTGTGAAAGGAACGATGACTGTTTTAGCAGGATTTAAGTTGAGTCCAACCTCCCTGCACCAGTCTAGCGTTGTCCTTAGTCCGAGTTGGACGATGTCGCAGAGTGTCGCTTCAAATTTGCCTCTGGCGATTATCACGATGTCATCGGCGTATCCCTGACATTGAATTCCTTTTCCAGCAAGCTTGCTGAGAAGGTCATCTACTAGCAGGCTCCATAGCAGAGGGGACAGTACTCCTCCTTGCGGGCAGCCTTTGCTGGTAGCAATTGTCACTCTTTCCGAACCCAGTGTACATGTTGCTTGCCTGGATTCAAGTAGGTTGCCAATCCATTTGCTTGTAGTAGTGTCTATGTTCCTTCTGGACAGGGCAGCTCGAACTGCATCATGTGATGTGTTGTCGAAGGCTCCCTCTATGTCTAGAAAGGCACAGATAGCTATTTCTTTGCTGTCAATTGCCCCTTCTAGGGTGCGACATAGTTGATAAAGTGCAGTGTCTGTTGAACGGCCTGCTCTATATGCATGCTGTGTGTTTTGCAGCGGACAGTCTCTGAGAGCTGTTCTTCTGATGTTGTAGTCTACCAGTTTTTCCAGCGTTTTAAGACAAAACGAAGTTAAGCTGATAGGTCTGAAGGACTTTGGGCTGGTGATGTCTTTCTTCCCGATCTTGGGGATGAAGACCACCCTAGCGCTGCACCATGCACTTGGGATATACCCAAGGGCTAGGCTGCTCACCATTAGTCTTCTTAGGCGGGTTAGGAGTAGTTCCTGCCCCTGCTGTAAGAAAGCTGGAGAGATCATGTCTAATCCCGGTGATTTAAATGGTTGGAAGGTTCCAATAGCCCATTTGAGTTTCTCGGGCGTAACTATAGATTTGGCTGTTGCCCAGTCACTGGCTACTGTCCTAGGGGTTCTATGTTGATCACGCCTTGCGTTTCCCATAGTGGGAGTATTCCCCGGGAAATGCGTGTCAAATAGCAATTCTAATTTCTCCCGATCCGTGGAGGTGAAGGTGTTATTCCCTTTCCTCAGGGCTAAATTACTATCCGCTGCACTTTTAGCCATTGCTTTTTGCAGTCTCGCGCCCTCGTTGACGTTACTTATTGCCTCACAGAAGTTCCTATAGTTTTTCCGTTTGGCCTTCCTGATCTCTTTGTTGTAGAGCGTCAGGCTTTGCCTGTATAGTTCCCAGTTTCTATCAGTTTTTGGTTTGTTGAAAAGCTTCCGAGTGGTTACTCGTAGTCGTTCAAGACTAGCATTCCACCATGGTGCGTCTGTTTCCCGCCTCTGTCTACCTAGAGGACAACTGTCTTCAAAGGCATTTACTATCTTGTGGCCCAGGTTGTCTACCGCTCTGTCTAATTCCAAGGGATGTCTAGGGTATCCTGACGGTTCGTTGGAAAGATTGAGCTCTAGAGTTGACCTGAATTTGTCCCAGTTTGTTTTTCTGGGGTTTCTTTTAGGGTTACATCTTTTTGTTTTGAAGGCTACTTCAAACAAAATTGTCCTGTGGTCTGACATTGATTCTTCTGGTGACACATGCCAGTTCTTAATGTGGGGTTTAAAAGAATTGGTTACTAGAGTTATGTCTAGCACCTCTTCTCGT